TTCTAAATCCATTCAAGTTGCTGTGAAGTTCATAGTTTTGTCCTTCTTTATTGCTATGTAATATTCCATTGTGCATATGTACCACATTTTTTTTTATCCAGTCTGCTTTTGATGGGCAGTACGGTTGGTTCCGTGCTTTTGCTATAGTATTTCTTATATAACAAGGCTTGAAAGTAAAAATTATTCCTTGATACAAGGGCTGCAGAATAGATGTTGTATTAATAGGCATGAAAACAATATTCATCTCCTCATACCCTGAAGACCTCAAATCACTCTATAAAAAAGATACCTGCACACGTATGTTTATCGCAGCATTGTTCACAATAGCAAGAACCTGGAAACAACCATGCTGCCCATCAAAAGAGGACTGGATTAAAAAAATGTGGTACATATACATGATGGAATACTATGCAGCCATAAAAAAGAACAAAATCATGAATTTCGCAGCAACCTGGTTGGAACTAGAGTCTATAATACTGAGTGACCTCTCACAGAAACAAAGATCCGAGTATCACATGTTCTCACTCATATAATGGACCTTGAACATCCAATGTAATACTATAAGAAAATGACTGACGGTACTGGGAAACTATGGGGGGAGAGGGGGATGGGATTAACAGTCGCAAATATCTGTCTGGGGATGGGGAAACACCTCTTATCAACAGGGTGCCTGAATGAAATGTAATTGTACACCTAACCCTTAACTGTACCCCACAAAGTCATAATAAAAAATATTGATTAAAAAAAATATTCATTTCCTCATACGTATCCATCAGAGTTCTTGGGTGACCAAGTGCATTGTCAATGTGATACTCTGAAAGAAAAAAAAGAAATCTTTTTTTTCCTGGGCAGCAGATCTCAATAGTAGACTTAAAATATTTAGCAAACCCTGCTGTAAGCATGTGCTGTCATGTCATCCAGGCTTTGTTGTTTCATTGGTAGAGCACAGGCAGAGTGGATTTAGCATAATGTTATGTAAATGAGCACTTCAGCTTAACATCACTAGCTGTGTTAGCCCCTAGCAAGAAAGTCAGCCTGTCTTTTGAAGTGTTGACACCAGGCTTAACCTCTCTAGCTATGAATGTCCTAAATATATCCTGTTCCAATGGAAGGCTGTTTTGTCTACACTGAAATTGTTTAGTGTAGACATCTTCATCAGTGACCTTAGTTAGAATTTTCTGGATGACTTGCTGCAGTTTCTGCATTAGCACTTGTCACTTCACCTCACACTTCTATATTGTAGAGACAGCTTCTTAACCTCATGAACCAATCTCTACTAGCTTCAAACTTTCCTTCTGCAGCTTCCTCACATTTCTCAGTCTTCATGGAATTGAAGAGAATTAGGACCTTGCTCTGCATTAGGATTTGGTTTAGGGGAATGTTGTGGTTGGTTTTGTTTTCTATCCGGACCACTCAAAACTTTTCTATATCTATCAGGCTGTTTCACTTTGTTATTATTCATGTAATCACTGGAATAGCACTTTGAATCTTTTTCAAGAACTTTTCCTCTGCATTCACGACTTTGCTAACAAACATTTAGCACAAGATGCCTAGCTTTTGGCCTGTCTTGGCTATCAACATGGCTTCCTCACTAAGCGTAAAATTTTCTAACTTTTGATTTAAAGTGAAAGATATGCGACTCTACCTTTCACTTGAACACTTATAGGCCATTGTAGAGTTATTAATTAAAATAATTTCAATGCTGTTGTGTCTCAAGGAATAGGAAGACACAAAGAAAGGGAGCGAGATGGGGAAACAGCTGGTCGGTGGAACAATCAGAACAAACACAACTCTTACCAATTGAGTTTGTTGTCTTTTATGGATCTGGTTCGTGGTATCACAAAACAATTACAATAGTAGCATCAGAGATCACTGATTACAGATTACCATCACTGATTACAGATTACCATAACAGATATAATAATACTAATAATAAACTTTTAAATATTATTATAATTACCAAAATGTGACATAGAAAAACAAAGTGAGCATGTGCTGTTGGAAAAATGGCATCATTAGTCTTGTTCACAAAGGGTTGCCACAAACCTTCAATTTGTAAAAAAAAATAAAATAAAGCGAAGCACAATAAAATGAAGTATGTCTATACTATATTCTTTCCATCACTGATACAGTCCTTAGAATAGCATCATGCTCTGGAAATTTTTCAAATAGTTTATCAACTTGGTGCCAATATTTTATTAACTTGATGCCTTTATATCTTCAAGAATGACTAGCTTAAAATTCAGCAATTTGCATTTCCCTTCCTCTCATACCCAACATCAAAGAAATACCCATTGTACTGCTTCATGACAATAGAGAAAAGAGATATATCTCCCACAACGTGTCTGCTCAACCTTCTTGCCAAAAATCTGCAGAGGAACAAGGGGCAGTGGACAGTTTCTGCAGGATACCTGGGAGCAGTAGTTCTATATATCTATATAAAAGAGGAAGTTAATGTTTCCTATATAGTCAACATGTTAATTTATTCAATAAGTATTTTGGGGACTCATTATTTTGTGCTAGGCATTGTTCTGGGCTCTCCCATAGGAGCTTGGAGAAACAACACTGGGAAGTCAGAAGACAAGAATACTTGATACAGGAAAGAGCAAAAATGATGTGGGTTTCAGTTCTTCTGCACTAATTGAGTCTCAACACTTGATGATATGCTTCGCAAAAAAAAAAAGCAATCAGACAAACATGAAAATGCAATTCTCCTCCCTAACTCCACCCCCATCCTGCTCCATCCTGCTCCTTCTTAACCATGGAGACTTTGCACAGTATTTTATTGTAAAAGTCTGGTACTATTACAACATTTATTATTTATATTTGAATAATTTTAAAATTTCACTGGCATTTCAAACCTTCTAAGTATCAAATTTTCTGTTTATATTAGCATTCCCTTTCCTTAAACTCTTGTCTTTTGGCCAAATCCTGTGAGGTTTTCCCCAGTCTGCTTGATTACTACCTATTGAAAGGTTAAATCTCATAAACACAAACCAGCTACTTTCTTTCTTCTTATTATTAAAATGTGAACACACTCCAAAACCATCTACCACATATTTCACAGAAACGGTTGCCAATGACAAAATTTTAAAAAGAAAATATTGGTCTATATTAGAATAATTTTGTACTCTAAATGGTGTTAGGAAACTGGTGAAAAGTTACGTGATTTAGTTCCATGTGTTTTATTCATCTCTGGTTATAGACGTACATTTGTTACTCACAGTCAGGAAGAGAAGATAAATAGAGTTAACCAATAGGGAAAAGGACTTTGATGATTTCAGTCACTAGAACGCCTCTGCCGGAGTCATTATGAGCTCTAATAAGAAGTATGTGACTTATACTTTTCCCTTTGTAATTTCCTCTAAAATTATTTACTATTCTATTCAAAGTTTAGCAAAACTTTTTCTTAATGCAGTCTGTTACATTAAATTAAAAACATTTCAACCAAATTTAGAACCATTCTACATGAAAAGAAAAACATACAACTTTGACAGGCTAGTATTTACAAGGAAGAAAAGGTCTTAGAAAGTTATTTTTCTTCATCTCTCATATTAAGTAATTACAACATTTTGCCAAACTAAATATCTTGTGAAAATCTTTACAAAATAGCTTTGTTATAACGCCCTAATATCATGTTTTACTCTCAAGTGAAAAAAAAATGGTTACATTTCTTTGTTGGAAAGTCGTTTTAAACATCACTTTATACATAACATTTATTTCAGTATAATGCACTTCCATACAGAAATCTTTCTCCCTCCTTCTGTTGCTAGGTATACCAAAAGACCTTCTTTCTAACATGATTCTCCTGGTGTCTATATTTTAGGAAGACTCCAGTTAGTTTCATTTAGTATTTGTTGAGTTTCAGAGCAAAAAATAAAAACAAAAATACATGTCTTTTGTTTGATTTGTAATCATCAATTTACTACCTAAACACTCATATATGCTTGAGTCATAAATCACTGCTGTATGATCTGCCATTTTCAAATAACCTGGAAAACTGCAAATTTCAGGAATAACAGCACTGAAATTGGAATTCTAACTAGTTGGCATACCATATGTATGCATCATGTCCCTTTTGTGCCCTAGCTCATCCATTGTGTCTAGCGGGCTACTAAGCACACAGTGGCAAATATTGCTGAAGAACACTTATTTTGCAAAATGGCAAGCATGTTGAACTAAGTAGGGATGTTCTAGGACAAGTTTCTTTCTTCAAATTTATTTTTGATGGATTAAAATAATTTATCAGACTAAAATCACCACCAATTTCCATCTAAGAATAGTCTACCTGTTTGCTTCCTGGACTAAACAAGATCCTTCTTGGTATAACTAATATGATTAAGTCACTTCAGATTTCGGCAGTTAGATGCTTTCTGATCAATAAAAATTTCTCTCCCTTTCTATCAACTAACAGATTAAATTATGAGTACTTTGGTATCCATTGTGCATTTGTAATATTTTTGAAAGATTTACTCTATGTGTATAACACACACCTACAGCAAATTATCCAGATAATAGCCCTCCAAATAAGTAATGAAAATATAAATATTATCTTACTTATCTATCTTGCTCCTATTTTTAGAAAAAAAATGAGCTGCAAAATTCACATGCATTGATTTAAGTGTAAAGAAAAAATCTTATGCTGAATTTACCTGGCTGACCATCCATATTTGGGAGGCCCTGGGGAAGTTAGCTCAGCAAGTTTGTAGTTCAATTTCGGCTAGACTTTGTTGATCTAGCCATTTCATAATTTTATTACTGCCAGCTTGATTTTAATTTGAACAGAATCTTTCAACATATGAAGGCAAGTCCTATTTATTTTAAAATGAATTACTGAGTGATTCACAAATGAAACATTCTGGGATGCTAGAAACATCACTGGAAGATTTACTATACCATGTGAAGGTATATACAGAGAGTAAATTTATTGTGGCTGCTTGATTTGCAACATACAACCCCATAACTCTCTGTGCATAACCACTGCTTGGGTTTTATCTTACCTCCAACACTGGACATTCTGGAAGAGTCCTGATGAGAGCTGGATTTATTGCGGTTTTGATTTTTCCGTTTGTTGGTTGCTCTCACAGATCGAAGAAGTACCTCACTGGCCTTGAAGAAAGCCACCATGAATGGTTGTTTTGACTGAGGCCCGTGTCTTCCCACAAGACCTGCGGATTTTACGTTGATGCTGCGTCCTAGAACATAATGTACAAGCACTTGGTTTGTGAAAAAGAAAGAATGTTTACCTGATATGTATGAATTCTGAAAGTATTTTGAAAAAAGGAAAGTTTGAAAACATTATCAGAATGTTTTCTATACAGGCCAAGATTCTTATAAACGTTGAGGTTTGCTATTACAGACAATTATCTGTTCGTGGTTTTTCAACCCGTGTCATTCTTCCACCACAGAACACCCTCCATCCAGCTGTTTTCACTCACTGATAGCTTCTCAGACCTGGAAGTCAGAAATGCTATAAAAATGGAAAGGGTTGACTACTCATCTGCCTGGAAATGTCTACCTTAAGAGACAATCTTTAAAATATTTGCTATAAGCTCTTCTGCACTAAGTGCCCTATAATTTTCCTTTAAATGAAAAAAGCTGAATGTCTGCCAGGGTGTTTCTACTTTCTCCAGCCTATTTTAAGCCTTTCAAGTGTTAATTAGTGCTGATAGCCTTTCCCCCTTCACTTCTGGCCAGTGCCCAGCAAACTTCACAAAACTGTGCTGTGCTTAAAGTTCCTCACAGGTCATTCTGGAAGTGTTGTCTGGGGATGGAGGTTTGCTTTAAGCCCCAGTTAATTCTTAATGTGAAGTCTTTTTAAATAAACATGGAAATTTCAGAATTCCTCTCCCTCTGAGTTTTGACATACCTGAAGGTTTACCGAAAGGATTTCTCAGAAGAAGCAAACCAAGCCTGGAGACTCTCGGGAAGGGAAAAAAAAATCCAGGTGAGCTTTGAGACTCACCTTTGCCTCTAAACTAGCCTACATCTCACAGCCTTCTGACCTCTTGATGTGGTTATACGTCTGATAAGAGGGGAACTCGGTACCACCAGCACCCATACAGGAGTGAATTAGAAGTCAATGCCCTAGAGTCTAGAAGTTGGTGTTGATAAATTACCCCTCCCATGGCAGTAGTAATAATGATACTTATAACTATATCAAATAAGTTTGGAATCCTTGCTATGTATATGCTAAGCATTTTTCCAAGTGGTTTCCATACATTATTTGAATTGATTACACAAATGCCCTAGGAGTTAGGTATAACTATAACTATCCTTCTCTTTTTAAAATTCATTTTATTAGGCTCTTTTAACTTAAAATAATCACTGAAAATTATATTTTATATATGATATATGAAGAAGAAAAACATTGACTGATATCCAGTTCCATGAAAATCAAAGAGGATAAACTATTTAACATTAAATTATAAATTTGGTTGAGAATTACTTTCAAGTAATGCAAAGTTTCTACTCTAGATACAGAAGTTCACAATCTTTTAAGAGTAATATATAGTGTGGCTTGAAATATGTGCATGATTGACTCTGGCTTGCCCCATGAGAGATGTGCATGTTTTCTTAAAATATTTATTCAGTAAAGACCGTGGAGCAACCTCAGCCCATTTTAAAATCTGACCCACCTTAGAAGAAAGAAAAAGAAAGCAAGTCCCTGAAATGGCATCAATGGCATTTTAGCAAATAAATCCTTGCTCTTAGCAAAATTTATTTTGGCAGCATAAACACTTTTGTGTATACTTGTATTGTGCAGAGACCTTCTACCGTCAGAAAATGAGACTGTGTCATGTGAGACTGTGCAGCTGTTTAAAGGGACACAGAGGTCCTTTAAATGTGGAGGTATAGGTTAAAAAAAGAAAAAGTCTGTACTAATTCAGACAGCACAGGTATCCTCCACAATTGTCCTACAACATCCTAGGAAAACTTGTCCAGCTCCAAGTATTAAAATGGCCATTTGCCTCACAAATGCCACTACGCTCAGTTCTACCAGAGAAAGGACTTACAAATAATCAAAGCAGTAAACCTTAAGCAAATAAGCATATAGATTTCTCTTTTAAATGCAAACTTACAGTGGCTCTATGCCAGAGTCTATATTTCTTAGAAAAACTCTATCACTGGCATAAATGAAAGAGGCAGTTTGATTTGTGGTCAGAGCAGTTTCCATTCTACTTCCACTGTAACAAATGTATTAATTCAGCTCAGACTTCCTCCTTCTGGCAGCCCTTTTGCTGTAAAAAGAGAAATTAGAAGTTCCAGCCAAATACCATACCTTGAACTGACCCACTTCAATACATAAACACTTTTACAACATGTTTATTCAGGTGTAGCACTTGAAATTGGTTTAAGATGTTTCCAGTGACAGAGAGCTCAGCAAAGGAAAAAAAAAAAAAAAAGAACTGAGAAACTTAACTGTTATGGAATAAAATAACTGGAAATCTGTTATTTAAATTTCTTAATTTTTTTTCTGTCTTGGAGTAAAACATAAAAAGTATTTGTCGAAGACTTTATTTTGATATTTTGATGAAGTGTTAATTTAACAGGAACTAAATTTTTACTTGTATACATTGATGACTGCAGAAATCATTTTTAATGTATGATCTCTCTAATACTGAAATAGGTTGCTGCAAGATGTTCACAAATGGAATACAATAAAATCAGTTTTCTATTCATGACAACATACACTGACCCTTTTATAGTTAAATAAGCACTTAACCCAAAGATCCAAGTTTCCTTTGGTTTGAAGGGAGTTTCTTTTATTATTACTCCAAAGACATTCAATATTGTAATTTTTATCTTTGGAGAAGTAATGCTGCTCTAAAGATTTATGTTCTGAAAACTGTAAAGATGTGTGCATGTTACAAGTTTGGGCTTCTTGGGTTTTACAAAGGTGGATATTATATGTGAAGCAAAGTACCCTTCAAACCAAAGGAAACTCCCTTTAAAATAACTTTTTATATTATTAAGTTTCCTCTTGGTTTCCTCTCTACTTCAGCAATGAGGTGACTATTAAGATTCCATGATTCCATAAGTAATGATTACTTGGTTATCCTTGGTCTTGAACTACACCATAGAAGTATTAACTATTTGATCTACTCCTACAGACACAATATACCTATAGTGATTATGTTGACTAAATTTTTTGAATGGCTGTTTTTGTAAGAAGTACAGATAGGAGCCGGGCTCGGTGGCTCAGCCTGTAATCCCATGCCTTTGGGAGGCTGAGGTGAGTGGATTGCCTGAGCCCGCGGGTTCGAGACCCACCTGGGCAGCGAGACCTCATCTCTACAATAAATCAAAAAATCAACCGGGCGTGGTAGCACACGCCTGTAATTCCGGCTACTCGGAAGGCTGAGGTGGAAGGATCGCCGGAGCCCAGCAGGTCGAGGCTGTGGTGGCCGGGAGCGGACACTGCACTCCAGTCTGGGCGACAGAGTGAGACTCCGACTCAAAAAAAAAAAAAAAAAAAGAAGTACAGATAGGAACCCAGATTATAATGAATATATTAAAAATAACGAATTCTTTATAAATTCACTTGAACATTTAGAATTTTATTACTAAATGTACAGAGTGTTTTAAATATTGCAAATATATCATTAAAGAATCCTACCTAGCCAGGCTCGGTGGCTCAGCCTGTAATCCCATGCTTTGGGAGGCTGAGGTAGTGGATTGCCTGAGCCCATGGGTTCGAGACCCACCTGGGCAACTTGGTGAGACCTCATCTCTACAATAAATCAAAAATTAGCCAGGCATGGTAGTGTGTGCCTGTAGTTCCAGCTACCTGGAAGGTTGAGGTGGAAGGATCACCGGAGTCCAGCAGGTCGAGGCTGCGGTGGCCGGGAGCGGCCACTACACTCCAATCTGGATGACAGAGTGAGACTCCAACTCAAAAAAAAAAAGATTGCTACCTAAAGCATTTTGTTTTTAGGAAGACTGTACATCTGTGTGTATCACCATGGATTTACTTTTCAAAGTTAGTCCTTATTTTTTAACAGTTTCTAGTTTAAATATAGATAGATAGATAGATAGAGCCTTGAATATACAATAAAAATGAAAAGAGCATTAAAATAAAGGGTGATAAGGATACTAGCTTGAGCCCAAGCTTAGTCACATTAAAATTCAGACATGTCTAGGCATAGACGTTAAATTAAGACTGAGCAATTTCATTAGCAAGAAGTCATCTTAAGGAAAAGGTGAACCCCTAAAGCACAGATTGAAAGTAATATCCCAGGGAATACGAGGAAGCAGTGGTTTCTGAGTCTATAACTCAGAATTACTTCTGGCATAGCTATAATGTATGTATGTGTAATTCCTCAAAAACAAAGGTGAACTTTAGTTAGTCTTTAAAATACAGGGAGGGTAAGGTAGCACTACTTCAGAACTTGGTTAACAAAGTGTGACACAAGTGTTGAACAAAGATTGTTTCTACATCAGAAGGGTGGCTTCTGAATGGTTCCATGTTGGGTCAGGTTGGCAACAACAGAAGCAGCCCCAGAATGGTCTCCTGTGTCAGCATACATGGGCTTCAGAGAATGGCAGCAGCTCAGAGATGAGCAGAGCAGCAATCTGATGGTATCGGGAGCTTTAGTGTGCACCAGTAAAAGTACCAAAGCAAGAGACAGTGCTGGCAATGGGAAGAAGTAGCTGTAAGAGCAAGAAAAATCTCTCTTGTAAGATATCTATGGCTTGATGTTGATGCTAGAAAGTGGGTAGGGATGTGATGTACTAAATCAGTGGGGTGATAACAGAAGTTGAAAAACGTGCTGAGAGCTGTTCAAGCTTAAACATGCTTCTGTTCTCCACACGGATGAGACAGAAGAGACAGCAGAGAGAAGATTGGAGAGGTTCTTTGAAGGACATGCTTGCATTCCAGTGATCATGCTGGTGGTGGCTAGACCCCCCAAAACATTGTTAAACATTGTTTTGTTCCCAATTATTTTAGCTTTGCATGTCATGGAATGCTTGGATTATGAAACAAAAGAGGTATTGACAATTATGGAAGTCCAGAGTTTGGTACTATACTGGCATAGATACTATCTTTTTGGTTTCTATCCTCATGCACAAAGGTTAACTCCAAATGGATCAGAGACCTAAATATAAAACCTCAAACCATAAGAAC